ATAATGATGATGTCAATGATAACTTATATATATAATGACATTTCGTAGGGCCGAAATATTTTTTCTTGCCAGGGCCAATTTCTTTGACCAATCCGCCATTGAGTATGATGAGGGAGTACTGCTTCAAAACAGAGGCCCTGTATTTACCTCTGTTATTTGTTCCTTTCATCCTCCTCATATCAAAAGATATAAACTTTGAAGGCTCTCACTTTATAATTTTTCATAGAATTATTTTATATATATATCTAAATGGAGTGTGTTAATTTTTTTAAAAAATGGAATGTATAGTGCAGTTCAAAAAGGCCAGTTGCCTTTAAACAATGAACAGAGGCCTTTTTAAGCAACTGTTTAAAGCAACCCTTAACCATTCATGATAGAGTACATGAGTCAGTTTCAAGTGGTTTTGCCCAACAGATGGAAATGTTTTTATTTGAGAAAGCTGTAGGGTCTTTTAGTTTTGTGTAAAATAAGAAAATTAGAAATGTAACAATAAGAGTAAAAACCTTAATTTTAGTAATACTATTATGTAATTTATGATGTTAAAATATTGAAAATTAGTTATGTTTTGAAAATTTTGAAATTTTTTGGGATTATTCAAAATAAGTAATATGTGTGCAAAATGTTTACAATAGTGATATTGTGTGCAAAGCCTTCCCTGAAAAAAATCTTATTATATGGACTCTAAAACACAAAGACTTTTGGGCTGAAAATTTTTAAATATTATCAAAGTTTATATTTTGCAATTGTGAAAATAATAATTTCGGTCAAAATTTCAGGATTTGTACTTTTCAAATTATTTCTCTTCATTTGCTAATGCTTTAACACTTTGTTTCTAAAAAACTTTTTCTCTCACCCAGCTCTTTTCTTCTTGAAGGGAGGGGGAATATATGTAAAATATAAAATTGAGCTTTCTAAGAAAAAAAAAAAAGATCCATTATCTAATCTGTATTGTATACTTATTGATGAAGTCTGAACCCAACATCTGTACATTAAACTGCCATGCCATCTGAACGTTGTATAAAAGCTTAATTGCGTTGCAACTATCTCTCTGTCTCTTCTGTCTTCCTTTCTGCATCGATAATGCTTGTGCTGCTTTCCCACTTTCCATGCAGAGTTTACTTTTTCTAATTTTCATCCTTTAAGAAGATATAATCTGTACAAAATTTGGGGAGGGGGGTAGTGCTGTATAATGCACCTAAAGTGAAAATGTGCATTTATCCAGAAATAAAATTATGTGTGGAATTTACAGTTGTATGAAGGTTGCCACGCTATCTGAAAAACCGGAAAAAGTCCGGGAATTTGAAAATTGACCAAAAAATTCAGGGAAAAGTCAGGAAATTTAAATATTTTAGTCAAAATCTGGAAAACTCAGAATTTCATACTGTTATTCCCCCCAAAAAAGCGACTTTTTCGCCGACGTTCGAAGCGATCACTTTCTTGGTGAATTAGGTATTGCTTGAACATCATTCGGCCAGCTGGCATAGAGGCAATTTTCGCAGCTCCAATCAGATTCTCTTGAGAGAAAGGCAAAGCAAGTTTCCAACAACTTTTTTTTCCAGTAGCATCGAGTATCGAGAGACTCCCATGCGCATATTCAGTGCATGTTGAAACTAAGGAAAATACGTACTCTCGTATAAAATAAAATTGGTTTAATCCTACTATAGGTTGCGATTTAGGTTAGAATAGCCTCCATGTACTGTATACATGGGATTTTGGAATATTATGATGAGCAGTAAACGGGTCATTTTGGTGTTGTTTGGTGTTGGCGACAATTTTCAAAATCGTGCCAAGGCTGTAGCATATACTGGGATCTTATCGCAAAATCATTTTAACCCTCCCCATTTTTTAATAAATGCCTTATTTGTCATTTTGTAATAAAATAAAAAAATAGTAATTAGTCACCTAGGCTAACCATTTAATGTAACTCTATTCGCCAAATTATCGTTGATTATTCTAATTCAATTTTTAAATAATTATCTTGTCATTTAATGTTTCTTTTTCTCTCTAAAGTTATTTTTTATTTATTAGTAAATAATGCTTTCAAATTTCAGGAAATTTTCTCTGCATGATCCTGAAATTAATTCTAGCAGTATGATGACATACCATCACGAAATTTAATACACATATTTTTTTGCTTATGCATGTTACTAAATAAATATAAAATACCTGAATTTATTTAAAAATATCATTAAATAGATTTTTCTTTCATTTAGCTGCAAAAATGTATGCAAAAGAAGACATTTTTTAATCCAGATTGAGCAGATTCTAATTCAATTTTCAGTGGAGAAAACAACAACTGTTATAGTTTTAATGCTTTGAAGATTATATATTATAAGTCATATGTAATATAGTCATATGTAATTGGCAAATTTTTGTGTTTTCAAGTGGTACCATAATTAATTTACCTCTTAGCACAGCCATTGTGTATTACGCTGATAGACTGGAATTTTCTTAAAACACACCTTTGAAACCTGGAAAAGTCAGGGAATTTCATTTTCCTGTTTTGAGTGGCAACCCTGTTATATGTGTTCTTAAAGTATAGTCATACTAACTACTCAATCTCTAACTAAGCGGTCCTCTTCAATACCAATCCGTTGCAACTCTCACACGTCATCTTATTTCAATAATAACACAGTTTTATTAGTTATATTACACACACATATATTTATATAGTAGTGCCCTCTTACTGGTAGATAATGCATTCCAAGCTGTACCATGGATAATAATGAATGCCATCTGAAACAATATTTATATAGCATACGTAAGTATGATCAAATTTAGCTCTAGTTAGTTATGAACAATAAGACATTACCTGTGTTAAATAAAAAAAATCAATCTTATGTATATTACACTACAGTATATACTTTACACTAAATAAAATAATGTAACAGATATTGTTAACTCAAGTATACTTTGTTTTTCCAAAATTAGGAATTCTATTTATATAGCATATGTAAGTATGATCAAATTTAGCTCTAGTTAGTTATGAACAATAAGACATTACCTGTGTTAAATAAATTTAAAAAAATCAATCTTCTGTACATTGCACTACAGTATATACTTTACACTAAATAAAATAATGTAACAGATATTGTTAACTCAAGTATACTCTGTTTCTCCAAAATTAGGAATTCTAGCATTTGAACCCAACGCACAAAAGATAATGAGAAATGCTGTTCTTATACTGATCAACATGATATACTATTTCAAAGGATGGTAAAAAATGAAAGTAATTTATTTTCCTAGCACTGACAGCACAGTAGGAGTTTTCAAACACTTAGGTCAGTACCTTGGATGTTTGGGAGGCCTTAATGTAGGGTAGGGTTTCCCTTAGTTTGATTAACCAGTTATTCTAATTTTTATCTTTTCTGAACTCCTCAATTTCTCGCATTTCCTTGCCAGGATGCAAATTAAGTTCAAGTAAGGAGAATATAAAAACAGATAATTTGCAGTTTATTTGTAGTGTGATTTCACTAGCCTAGCATACGTTGCTATTTTGTCCTCGCTACTGTTACATTGAGTTGCTGATATGCCTTTTGGCTATTTAATAAGTCTGTTGCCAAGTAGGTTGTTGAGTCGGCCTGATTAGCCCTAAACTAAATTGTTAGTCCATTGTTAATACTTATCTGAATTTATTGTTAAATTATTCTTAAGTTGCCACTGCAAATAGTTGGTGTTATTGTAAGCATAAAGTACGTGCATTTGTGTTAAGAGTTTGATGAATAATAAAGGCTTTTTTTATCCTTCTGTGCTGGTATATTCACCCCCGTGCGAGAAGTTTCCAGGTTTCCTAGTAAGATCACTCTAAGTATATAATAACAAAGAAAGTTAAATCTTACAAACTGAGATAAAATGCTGGAAATTTCAAAAACACAGCATTGATAAGAATAAGAAGAATGCTAGAAACAAGACTGATAGCAAATTAAAAATATTGTTATGAATTTTGTACAAAGGCAAATAATTTAGTGAAATTATATTTTTCTGTATAATGTAATGTGAAAAGAGAGAATTGATGTGCTGCTGTAAAAATAAGAATACAGGGGCAAGTATATTTAACATAGAGTGAATGGTTCTCTTGCTAACTTGTTCGCGCGTTAAGTGGTAACCAACAAGAAGCGAATTCAGAGGCGGTATTTTCTGGATGGCCGGAGACCACGCGAGTTAACTTAACTTCATTTTTTTTCCCACTTGCTGCCTCAGTTTCAAATATCACTTGATTACACCAACCAATGGTATATTTAAGACACAATAACACACTGAATAGATACTAATTCAGAAGTCAAACAACAAAAATCAGTGTACAAAATTTTCACAGGACTAGTTTCGATGGTTTTACCGAACCACCATCCTCAGCTGCAAAAACTGCAAATGATCCTGTGAAAATTTTGTAAATATAACGCTGATTTTTGTTGTTTGACTTCTGAATCAATGATATATTTGTTTACTTACCTGCTGACTACCATAGCTTTGAAAATCATTTACCACTTGTTTTATCAAGAAACAATGAGTTTTCCTATAGCGACTGACAAGATTCATATAAATGAACTACAGAAGTATACATACATTTATAATTTAAATGATAAATGCCATAAAAATTCACTGATGAGAAGAAATGCTTAGATCAGCATAACTGAAGCAAATGGACAGGTGAGTGGCATAAAATTTTTCTGCATTCTAAATTTATTAAATTTATTAAAATTATCTCTTATTTTAACTATTTGCACTTATTCTTGAAATATAATTAATAAAGTTTAATTGACTAAAACTATTAAATAAACTCATAAATCATGAATTCTTGAAATATAACTAATAAAGTTTAATTGACTAAAACTAAATTTTAAATAAACTCATAAAGCATGATTTACTGAATTTGTAAGTTAAAAATATAATTTCCTCTCGTACTTGAGTGAATATTTTTTTTTAATTTCATTTTTAGGTTGTGTTCTTTAATCTGTTTAGATAATGAAGTATTATGATTTATAAGTTTTCTACAGATTAAATTTTCTCATATTTACGATTTGTTCTTGTAGCTGATAGATGCCAGGAGCGATATAAACAGCTCTGAGATAAAAAAAAAAGAAAGGTTATTGAAACAGCCAAGTGGTAGTGATACTAAAAGAAAGTAAGATTGGTCACTGTATGAAGCAATGACATTTCTGGAATCCTATTTAATTGATAAAGAGTAAGATTTTTGAAATTATGTACATGTTCCACTGTATTCTTCCATAGCATTATGATTAACTACATGCAATATTATTTTACTTAACAGAATTATTTTTTTTTATTTGAAAATGTAATTTTAAGCTATTATTATTTTAAACATATGTAAAGCATCTTTTGTGTGAGTTTATATGGTTTGAAAATATTGTTAGATATGCTTAAGGAAAAAATATACAGATAAAAAATAGGTATTAATGTCCTATCAAATTAACACCATTACTGAAATTAATGTACAGAAATAACTGCATGAAATTTAACATCAAATTTATTCATATTAAAATGTAACATATCTTTTTAGAAGTATTTCTGTGAATTTTAAATTACTTCTTTTATATATACCGGGTGGCCATAATTAAACTGACAGTGCTCAGAGTGTTCTGTAGCGCAATCTATTTGCAAGAATGACGCCACATTTTGTAGGAAGATTAAGACGGGGGATGAAGGATTCCGCAAAAAAACGAATTAGTTCCAAAAGTCACCACTAGGGGAATATTAGGCGCTGTGTAATAGAAAATAGAGTGTTAACAAATGCAAATTAATACGGAATAAAATTACCTTTTATTATTTACATTTTCTGATTTAGTTCAAGTGCAATATGGCAACACTTCTAAAAAAGCGTAAAATCTACATAAACACCAATAAAGTCTCGTGATCTGCAATATCATGTACGCTGAGCAGAAGAAGTTCTTTATTCAAATTTCACATTACATCCATTCGCAGAGTGCCAGCTGCTTGGGTTTTAAAAGGCAATGTGTTATGTTTCGAATCAATCGGATTGAAAGTTTATGTGCAATGTCTCCTTCTTTAGTTGAGCATGTGTTACTGGCCAAATTCTTTTACCTCAACCAGTGCAACGTGTCAGCCGCTCTTCATGGTTTTAGAATGCAAAAAAAAAAAAAAAAAAAAAGCGTAAAGGTAACGGTCCTGTGTCAGTTAATGGGCTAAAAGCAATGGTTGCGACGTTTGGGAAAACAGGTTCTCTGAAGGTTCAGTCAGGCAGAGAACGAAAACCTGTACCACAGGATACAATCGAAGCAGTTGCCACGGCGATTGTCGACAGAGGACCAGACAATATTGCTGCCACCTCTAGCGCTCGAGGAGTAGCTCAGAATATCGATATGCCTTACAGTATGGTATGGAAAATCTTATGAAAGATTATCAACTTCTGTCCGTACAAGATCAGCTGTGTACAGGAGTTACTGTATCCTGACCATGATAAGCGATTGACTTTTGCTATCACCTTTCTTGCCAGAATGGAGGTGGATGATGCTTGGAACATGGAAAATCTTATGGGGACATGGAAACATGGAAAATCTTATGGGGAGATGAGGCTCACTTTTACCTGAATGGGACTGTGAATACTCAGAAATGCCGAATTTGGGATGACAAATCACCACAAGCAGTCACAGCAATTCACTTACATTCACCAAAGGTAACTGTTTGGTGTGGGTTCACAGCGGAATTTATCGTAGGTCCATTCTTCTATGAGAACATTACTCCGACAGGATTGGAAACCTGTTCTGTTACCGGAGAGAAATATCACCACATGTTGAACAGCTTTGTCATTCCAGCACTTCAGCAAAGACAATGCCTGGGGGAAATCATTTTCATACAAGATGGAGCCCCTCCACACATTGCTGTACGTGTGCAACAGATGCTACGACAGAAACTCAAAACAGAGAGTCATTAGCCGCTACTTTCCAACTGCATGGCCACCTCGGTCGCCTGATCTTACCCCATGCGACTTCTGGTTATGGGGTTACCTTAAGTCCAAGGTCTATCAGGGAGTGGTCCAGGACCTGGCTACGTTGAAGGATAACATATCACAGACTGTACAGGAGATTCCTGCAGACATGTTACTTTCTGCTGTTGTGCATACTGTGCACAGAATGCAATATGTGGTCCACAATAACAGCAGCCACATTGAACCTCATTTGAATGCAAAATAAAAGGTAATTTCCGTATTGATTTGCATTTGTTAACACTCTTATTTTTTATTACACAGTACCAAATACTCCCCTAGCGGTGACTTTTGGAACTAATTTGTTTTTTCGCGGAATCCTTCGTCCCCCGTCTTGTTTAATCTTCATACAAAATGTGGCATCATTCTCGCAAATAGATCGCACTACAGAACACTGTGAGCACTGTCAATTTAATTATGGCCACCCGTATATATATATATCTTAAAGATTTGATTATTTTGAGCAGGACAAGAAACTTCCAAATTTAGTTTTTTTTCTATACAAGACCTTTCATTAAATGCCAAACATTTAACTGCAAATCTTTAATAATGTACTAAGATGTTTTACTTTGAGAGAAATGATTGCCTATTTATATTGCAAAAAATGCTTATTTGAAAATTTCACCTTTTGATGGTAAGAATAAAATAAACATTGTATTATTGCTCTTATTTTACTTAATCTTTATTTTAAAAAATGATACATTTCTTCCCAAATTTTTATGAATTAGTTACACGCGAATTGCTGCATTAATTTATGCCATTATTCATATGTTTAGATGATTTCTTACAAATTAAACTCCACAAATTAAAAAATATCAAATGCACTGATTAAGGAAATTTTAACTAGCAAAAATTGTCTACTTTAGACATCTTACTGCTAACAATTCCCGCAATATACGTCTTAATTAACACCTTTCTGTACTAATTAATTTCCTTATCATAATGATAAAATAATTTTGGCAGGGAGAAACAGCAAAAGCACCAACAGATATAGGCCAGGCTAACTAACACCTGTGCATCCAAGTATGCATATTAGGTACCATTAAGCCTTGATAGCTGAGAAGTGTCTGTGTCACATGGAATGATTTCTATTTATATTGTCTTGCATTTAAAATAATGGAATGTGTGTAATAAATAGAGTGATATATCTGCATATGAGATTTTTGGGATACAAGCCAGCATTCGAGTAGATTTTCCATGTCTTAACGAAATGCCGCCAGTACCTAGCACTGCAAGCAAAGCAAAAAGCAAGCTTGTCATCCAGTTCATGTGGTTACCTTTGTGCTAGATGCATATCTCATATACCAAACTCGCCTTCCTCTTGTGTTTGTGCAATAGTTTGCCAGTAAAATAGATTTGTAACAATGTATCCTAAGAAAGTGGGTGATGCTAAGAAGCAGATGATGTATCTAGAATCAAAGCATGAAATCACCAATAAACATGAGTAAGGTACACATATAGTCAACTGGGTGTAGTGTATGAGCATAATACTTTTACAATATATGATATTAAAATGATAATTTTTAAGACAGCCAAGTCATTTATCTAGTTTGATGGAAAAGACCCCAGACTCTTCAAATAATGAATGCAAAGAGACATCCGAGACATGTCATAGCTGCTTTGAAAAGCTTAAAGGCAAACTGGAATTAACATCACCATAAGGCATAGTGAAATGGTGAGCTGAAACATGAAGACAGTGGAGTTATTTCTCAAAACTTTTGCAGCACTAATAGAAGTTGAAAGGTACATCCCACAGCACATCTTCAACTGTGATGATACAAGTCTCTTCTGGAAGAGAGGAGAACTTATGTAAAGGTGAAAGACGACAAAGGCTACAAACCAATTAAAGACATGATGATCCTCACACTATATGCAAATGCGATTTGCGACTTAAATAAAACCGCTTCTTATATACCATTTAAAAAATCCCAGCATTTACAGCCCCCCAAATTATAGGAACTTAAGATCAAGCATTTAAATGAACTACAGGAGTACAAAATGTTTTGAAGAAAATTAATAATGAGGTAGGGGTAGTGTAGCCATCACTTCAGCTGTAATTAAGGGCATTTTTCAGTAGCACGAAGAAGTTGCTAAGTTCACTGAGAAAAAATATACTGAAAAATGGCACCATGTTGTAAAATTGCACTATTCAAGTGACACTTGTTTGACACATTTTGAAAACATTCTTAAAAGATCACACAGACTTTCTCAGACAAATTATTATTGAAATTGCACTATGGATGAAAAAAAAAAAAAAAAAGTGGGAAAAAAGTAACAGGAAACAGTAAAGAATAAGAAGGTGTGGTTGTACGTAAGTAGAATAGAGTAATTAAGTCTAAGACTAGTTTATTTTGTTAAATTCTCTTCATATATTTATATTATGTTTTATACAGTTTTTATTTATTTTTTCTGCAATACAATGCATAAAAAATAAATAAGAACTGTATAACATGTAATACATTTTTTATTTAAAAACATACAATTAAAAACTGAAGTTATTGTTTGGAGGCTGGAATGGATTAATTGTATCTAAATTTTTTTAATGGAAAAATATTGTTTTAAACTATGAGTAGATCGGCTTACAAGCTCATTCACAGAGCAAATGTCGCGCAGACCACTGTATTTAGTTTGAAGTGCAAATCTTTATAAAATTAAAATAAGTTAAGATTTAAAACATATCCTATCAAAGAATGACTGTACAATTTTGTTTAGTTTATTAATACATTTTAGTATACCTCCAGGTATAATCCACTAATTATATTAATTATTGATTGACCCAAGTAATGGAAAGGTTTATTCCATTCACACAGTTTAGAAATATGCACTGTAAGCTCTACTTCTGTTTCAAAATATTCTAAGATTTCTATAAATCGATATCAATCACTTTTAAAATGTAACTTTTAATATGTTCAAATTTTACATAACATTAATTACAGCATTTGGTGGTTCGGTAGTCAAACAAATTCTATATGCTTTCACAATCGAAAATCGAAATCTTTTAAATAGGAACCAAAATGTTTCTAAAGTGTGCAAAGCATCTAAGCATCCATCTATCAAGCTGCCAGTGGAGAGTCTTATTGAAATTCAGAAGGCATGTCGCGTTTAGCATGAGACACTAGTGCCATTTATCAATTAATCAAAATAATTTCCAGAACTTCCTTGCAGGTCCATATGCAATTATTTTTGGTTTTTGTAGATATTAAAGTATTTTAATTTTAAACATTTCTTGCTCTGCAACTATTTTTTCAATAAAACTAATACAAGGTTGACTTTGAACAAAATGTATCAGCATAAGGTTAAATTTTGCATAATCTGTAATTATTATATATTAATTTGAAATTGTATCAGTACCTGGTCTAATTTGAGTAGCGGCCAAAGCAATGAAGCATCATACTCCAATCAAACTTCAGATTTCGAGCAACTATACGTCAGCTGCAGTACAATGAAACCTTCAATGGGTTTTTAAGATTTAAAATTTTATTTATATAAATGTGCTAATTTACAAAAATTTGTTTTAATAATGTTAGTAAAAAAAATCATCTTCCAATGAACAGATATATGTTCCAAATGCAAAGCAAAATAGTGAAACAAATTTTTAAATATTTTCAGTAAAATATGCACAGTGGGGATTGAGATTACTAGTTAATAATAAATTTATTATTTATTTACAGATTCTTCTATAAAGAAAATTGATTTAATTGATGAAGATACTACTTTTCTATTATGGAAACACAGGAGCACGCCAACATTGATCATCTTCTGCTGTTCATTTTCCACCAGAAAAGCAAAGAAAGGCCTGTTGAAGACTTGACAATTTTATATTTAATATGATGGATGAAAATAAATAAAACTCTTTAAATATGCCCTTTATTGTGTTATTAATCAAGTGTATCAATAAGTTTAGTTTGACTAACAAGAAATTAAACATTTTAATCAAGACTTGTATGCTACTTACATTTCATGAGCAAAACTAATTCCTTTAAATTCTTATGAACCTGTTATCCTAAATTCAGTTAATACAAAGTTTATTTTAGAAAAATTAAGATTATTTATGTATGTTCTCATAATATTAAGTTCATAAATCTTACACCTATGAATGTGAAAAACAGTGGATTTTTTTTTTAATAAATACTATTAGGGCTTATATACCAGCACCTGAGTTCTCTTTTGTAACTTAGACAATTAGTGCGATGTGAAATGTGCATATTATTAAGGGTGGCTGCTTCCTTCCTATCTGCGCAGATTAATTATATCATATAGCTGTATTTTTTTATTTCATCGGTTATTTTCTTCCTCATATATGTCATTCTAAAGTAAATTTTTAGTATGCACTCTTTGATGTTGAAAAATATTTAATTTTTACATATATATATAATATAAAGAAAAATTAAAATAAATTATCATGAATAAAATATAATTAGATGAATAAAAACTAATTTAGATAATTATCATATGGCAATATATATATATATACGCGTTTGTGTAATACAATTTTTAAATATTTTTTTAAACTGCGGCATACTGCCATGGTACAACTTCTTCACTAATAAAGCAATTACTGTATGAAATACATACAGCAGTTGCATTATTGTTGTACTTTTTTGAGGCAGAACAAGTAACTAAGCGCTGCGATCATTTGTCTCGAAAACCGCGATGCAGTTAGTTATTTTAGAATGCACCCGTGTGACAACGTATGCGTAAGGTCAGACTACGTTCACACCCACGGAGCAACAAAGACACACTGAAACTCGCAGCGCTAAAGCACTGCATCACGGTTTTCGAGACAAATGAATGCAGCGCTTTTGCACCGTGTAGCAGTTAAACGGTTAAATTCTGCATGTTCTCATTTCTCCATCAGCTTGTTAGTGCCACTGGCATTCTCTTTCTTTTGCTGATATCTGCTCTTCTTTACCTTGTAAATTATTGTGCAAGCAGACAGAGAGCTTCGCAGTATTCTGGCTGGTTGTAAGACCAGCTACAATTGTTTTTCACAGAATTTGGAATCTGGCAGCCATGATTCCAAATGCATTCTCAATGCATAATCGAAAGTAAGACTTTCCTGTATCCAGTTCTCGACCAGGATATGGATGCATCAAATTGCTTTTAAGGGGAAAATCTTCATCCCCAATAAAAGTATATAGCAATAAATGTTGCGATCACTAAACTGGAGAATGTTTAGGTGAATTCAGCACTTCTTCATCAAGAGCTTTACCAAAGATGGAATTGATGAAAATTCCTCCATCACTCTGATGCCAGGCACCTCTGATGTCAACAATGATGAACTTGTATTTTGCATCAGATACAGCCATCAGAACTATGAATGAACCTTTGTAATTATAATACGAAGATCCAGATAATGAATTTAGGTTTGATTAGGAATATATACTATCATAGCTCAAAAAATAAAAGTTTGAAACAGATTATACCTTTTAATAAAATTAATGATATTGCAAAGTTTTAACAATATGTATGTTAACTTTTGATAAACTAAATATATATATATACATATTTCAGCTAAAGTGCCATTTTTTTAAAGCATAGACTGATTTAAAAAATAAGATTAATTTTACTATAAAATAAGCCAACCAATGCTTTTGCAAAGGTTGCTAAAGGACTGCTGCAAATTAAAGTCAGAATTTTATCTTACTTATTTCTTTTATCTTATACATACATACATATACGCAAACACATATATGTATAATAAAAACTTTCCATAACCTAGTCATGGGAGTAGTGTGTGAAGTCACATTATTTATTTTGCAATTATGTATGCCTGAACCATGACATGCTTTCCATCAATGGAGCCAGGGCAGTGGGGTAACTGCCATAGTGCTTTATATTCCTTGGCAACGTGAAGCCCTTTTTTCTTAATTTGGAATTCCCCAAACAGTTAGCTGCAATATATTGCGCAAAGCAGCACAAGTATCTCGTATTATGAGGGAGACTATGTACTTTGCCATTTGAAAAGCAAATTATAAACTTAAATACCCACTGGCAAGAAATCTTAAAAATGTATAAAAAAAGTCATATACAGTCAAAAGTCGTTAATTCGGACACCCATAATCCGGACCTCAAAGCTACAAACTTTCTGCGCATGCGTCGCTTTATGGCTGCGAATATGTGTGTACACGTGCGCAAAATACATTTACGAATGCGTGTTTAATGTATAACGGACGGTATAAGCTAAAATTATCTAATTCAGTTAATGTTGCAGATTGCGTTGTTCCTTATTCTTCAAATTGGATCCGGCTTATTATTTTTTGCAGACTGTTAGAGCAATTTTATAAAAGTAAGTTGGAACTTTCGATTATGTCAAATAGATTTTCCAATGCAGGATCTACAAAGGGAAAGCATGTTTCGATGTCCTCAAACAAAAAGTGGAATTGCTGCAAAAAATGGATAAAGGCATATCCTTTGTTTATCTAAACTTTGTTTATCTTTAACGCCGCGGCGTGCAATGAATTGGAAGTTGATCTGTCAGCACTATCCTTATCTTCAGGGCAGATGTTTTTATTTTATTTGGCTTTTAATTCTTTACTAAATGTATGTATGTATGTAGTATTTCATCTCGATGTACTCCGTCTTTGATATGATTTAAATCAAATTTCTCGTCATTATAATTCGCTTCCGATAGCGAAGAAAGTGACAGAGGTTATTAAAAACGAAAAAATTTCGATTGACAAATTAGTCGGTATTTTCGACACAGCAATTATAGGACTTGAACAGTGGAACTTTGTAACTGAACAAGAAATTATGTCTGTTTATAGAATTAAAAAGAGAATGTATTATCACATAAAAAAGGAACCAACTTAAACAACTTACATTAAAAGAAATGTTTAATAAAGTAAACAAATAAATATTAAGTTTTTTTTTTATACCCTTTAGATCATAATTGTTCTTTATTTCATAAATTACGGTTTCATATTTTTAATTTTATAATTTCTGCATGCCATCTTACCAGATTTGAACTGATGATCTGTAATCCGGAAAAATCGATAATCCGGAATCGCCGAAGTCCCGATGAGTCTGGATTAACATCTTTTGACTGTACTACCATTTAAATTTTACATGAATATATTTACAACTCGCATAATAAATGATTTCTTAATAGTGTGAAATTACTTTCCCCCTTCTCCTAATGCAAAAGCTAAAGATCATCTCACTAATAGCAGCTGCATTTTTTGGCGTATTTTCATGTAGTAGAATTACTCGCTAAAGCATGTCTACACGCGACATTAATGGACAATTAAGAAAAGTATCCTCTTATAATTATATCAGTTTGTATTATTATATTGAAAAGAACAATATCCTTTACATAACCCTCGACTGCATGACCTAATAATGCAAGTTTATATGAAAGGGTTCACTAATGCCAAATTTCAGTACATGATATTGAACATAAATGATTATTTTTCGTTTCGTTTGAGAATTTAGCCATTTGCTTATTACAGTAAGTATTTGTTCTAATAAACTTTTGTAAATATGTTTACAATTTTCTAACAATTCTAGTAAGAGCTAGAACAATGATACATTTGTGCAGTAATACAGTTCAAAAATTGAATAATTCAATATGTTTTTATCACAGTCAGTACAAATAATTTCATCTCAATTTAAAGACATCACAAAATTTCAAACTCATTGCCTTTATTTCTCATCAGTGGAAGTGTGGAGCGAATTAGAAATTAAGATATTCTATAGATCTACAAGGGTTTATAGGTTCTGTATCTAATCAGAAAAACCTAGATACATTTTGACCAGTTCAGACATTGACGAAAAAATCATAGACAGAAGAATGCCGAGCTTTCAGGATTTTTAACACAAAGTTAGAATCACATGAATCAGGTCCAAATAATAATGTCTTTTATTTAAGAACAGGTTGCTGAGCAACTCAAACTAAATGCAATTTTACCCAGAGGTTGCCCTCGTGGTATTTAGGGCTCCAGGAGAAGTTTTTTTGGCATAAAAATTCAAATTTTAAAAATCATGATAGAATATTTTGCAAAAAAAAAAAAAAATGCTTTATGGTATGATGAAACAATCTGAAGTATTCCATGTGGCACCTGTATTCTTTCAACTTCTTGAGTGGTCATCCTATTCCCTCTCTCAAAGCTGGCCACTACAATTTCTATCCAACATGTAAACAATGGATGGAAGAAAAAGAAACATACCAATATATTATACAGTCAAAAGTCTTTAATCCGGACGTCCATAATCCGGAATGATCTGTAATCCAGACCCCAAAGCTACAAACTTTCTCCGCATGCATCTCCGCATGCGCATAATACGTTTACGCATGCGCGTTTAATGTATAACGGACAGTATAAAGCTAAGCTAAAATTATCTATTTCAGTTAATGTTGCAGATTGCGTTGTTTTTTAATCTTCTAATTGGATCTGGCTAATTATTTTTTGCAGACTGTTAGAGCAATTTTATAAAAGCAAGCTTGAACTTTCGATTATGTCAAAAAGAATTTCCAATTCTGGAGCTACCAAAGGATCTACAAAGCGAAAGCATGTCCAATGTTCATCAAACAAAAAGTGGAATTGCTGCAAAAAATGGATAAAGGCATATCCTTTGATTCTCTTATCATTCCGAAATATGTTTATCAATTTCACGCTGCTCTGCGGGGGGCAGACGCAATGAACTCGCGGCGTGCAATGAACTAGAAGTTGATCTGTCAGCACTATCCTTATCTTCAGGGCAGATGTTTTTATTTTATTCGGCTTATAATTCCTTACTAAATGTAGTATTTCATCTCGATGTACTCCGTCTTTGATATGACTTAAATCAAATTCCTTGTCATTATAAATATCATGAATACACATAAAATAGTTTTCTGGTTGCAATTTTCTAATTTCGACTATGC